GTTTTTGAAGGTACGATATGGGCTCAATAAGCTTTCAGTTAGGTACATAACCGTGATTATTATGTAACAATCATGAATGTAAAGTTGAGATGGATTTGAGATGTGTTTTTGTCTTTTTTTATTATTACCTACCTCATTTCAGATAACATGTGTAACCTTGAGAAGATTGAGATTTGAGGGCAAAAGCTTATTTTTAATCTTTTATTTTATTAGATTTGTAGGTTTTAGTTACTTACAGTTTATTATGACATTTTTAATCTCTTACCTATTAAAATTAAAGAAAATAGTCCTAACTTATAACATTTGTTAGTTTTGTTAACTGATTATTAACTTTATTAGTTGACTATTAACTAATTATTAACTGATAAAAATCTACTTTTAGTTAATAGAGTTAGCAGTCAGTTAATAGAATTATTTTGGTAACTAACTGTTAACTCTATTAGTTGATTGTTAGCTGACTGTTAATTGACAAAAACTTATTTTTAACTAACAAAAACTTATTTTCAGCTAACAGAATTAACAGTTAGCTAACAAAATTAACAGTTAATTAACATAGCTAATAAAATATTATAAAATGAGGGTTATTTTCTTTAATTCTAATATGTGAGGGGTTAAAAGTGTCATAATATATATGTTTCTGTCTCTTTTGGTTATTACCTACCTCATTTCAAACAACATGTGTAACCTTGAAAAGATTGAGATTTGAGGGCAAAAGCTTATTTTTAACCTTTTACTTTACTAGATTTGTAGGTTTTAGCTACTTATAGTTTACTGTGACACTTTTAATCTCTTACTTATTAAAATTAAAGAAATAATCCTTACTTATAACATTTATTAGTTTTGTTAACTGATTGTTAACTGATTGTTAACTTTATTAGTTGACTATTAACTAACTATTAATTGGTAAATCTACTTTCAGCTAATAGAGTTAGCAGTCAGTTAATAGAATTATTTTGGTAACTGACTGTTAACTCTATTAGTTGATTGTTAGTTGACTGTTAGTTGACAAAAACCTATTTTTAACTAACAAAAACTTATTTTCAACTAATAGAGTTAACAATTAACTAACAGAATTAACAGTTGGTTAACAAAACTAATGAAATATTATAAAGTGAGGGTTACTTTCTTCAATTTTAATAGGTGAAGGGTTAAAAGTGTCATAATATAAGGTAAGGAGTTAAAAGTATTATAATATAAGGTAAGGAGTTAAAAGTATTATAATATAAAGTGAAGGATTAAAACCTACAAAACTAATAAGGTAAAGGGTCAAAAATATATTTTTACCGAGATTTGAGACCACGACACATGTGCTCTAGTTAGGACCACCCGCACTGGGCATTAATTCTTCTCTTCATTTTCTTGCTTTGTGTGCGGGCGTGTTGATATCGCTGCCACCATGTGTGTTGTTAAAGTTATCCAAATTTAATTGATATTTATAATTTTTTTAAAAATAGATAATTAGGATATTTAAAAATATTAATTTATAAATTAATTTAATTTATTAAATAATAAATATTAATTTTTTATTAGTTATTAATTGTGTATAGAATAATTAAATTAAAAAATAATACTTTTTAAATAATAATTGATGACTTTAACAAAATAAATAGTGGCCATGACCACACTTTTTGTATGGTTTATAGAAAAAAAAAGGGTAAAGTTAAATGTTAATTTTGGTCTTTTAATTTTAAAATTTTACATAATATTCATTTTTTAATTTTTTTATGTATTTTTTTTATCCTTTAACTATGAAAAATGAATTTTTTTAATTCTTTCATAAGTTATTTTATTAAATTTATCTAAATCTACACATTTTTAATCTCTTAACTTCTAATATAAACATATTTTTTTGTCTCTTAACTTAAAGTTGAGAAATTAAAAATATTTATATTTGGATAAAGTTAATAGATTAATTAATGAAATGATTAAAAAAAATATATTTTTCATAATCAATGGATCAAAAAAATGCATAAAAAAATTAAAAGATGAAAATTATATAAAACCTTGAAGTTGAGGGCCAAAATTGACATTTAAGTAAATTAAGGAAAAGAAAAAGAGGGTTTAAGTATGAACTATACCTTCTTATGAGTTTTAATAAATTAAAGTTTTCTGAACTTCTAAATGAAATTGCAAGGTTCCTTTTTCTTTGTTTTTCTTTTATTTGTTTGGTTATTGCATTTGTTGTTGACTGCCAACGGATTTCATTATGCGGCGGGAATGTAAAGTTAAGGCAGTAAGGAAATGGTAAAGAGATAAGAGGTACAGAAACAGAAGTCTATATATTGTTCATAAGACACGAAGAAACAATTAAAGCACACACACGACAAACCCATTCTCATGCCTGGAATGTGCAACATGGACTCAACCCAGTTGCAATACTGACCAACAAGTCTCAGCCAACATAGTTCATACGCTAAGCAAAGGATACTAGAAGCTCTTATTTTTACAGTAAACTAGGTTAAGATTTAGGATATTAAAGAGAAGCATATGTATTCATGTGTGCACTTAATTGGCTTGTGGAGGCTTGTGTGGTGGTTTGTGTGGAGGGAAAGATGGCTTCAACTTGCGTGGTGGCTTCTGCGAGTCCTCCTCCTCAACTTCCTCTAGCATGTGTCCAGGGTGGTGTGGGGGTTTCTTCTCTCCCTTGCCCTTTGGTGGTTTACCAAATGGGTGTTTGTGTAAGTCATCCTCTTCGACTTCCTCTGCCAGCATGTGTCCTGGGTGGTGTGGAGGCTTCTTCTCTCCCTTACCCTTTGGTGGTTTGCCAAATGGGTGTTTGTATGAGTCCTCCTCATCAACTTCCTCTGCAAGCATGTGTCCTGGATGGTGTGGAGGTTTCTTCTTTCCTTTTGGTGGCTTTCCGAATGGGCGTTGGTCTTCCTCCTCTACTAGCATGTGGCCATGGTGTGGAGGCTTCTCACCCTTACCCTTTGGTGGTTTACCAAATGGGTGTTTGTGTGAATCCTCTTCCTCGACTTCCTCGGCCAACATGTGTCCTGGGTGGTGTGGGGGCTTCTTTTCTCCCTTTCCCTTTGGTGGTTTTCCAAATGGGTTTTTATGTTCATCCTTCTCAGCCTCCTCCTCTACAAGCATATGTCCAGGGTGGTGCGGCTTGTGCCCATGTTCAGGCTTCTCTCCCTTGCCCTTTGATGGCTCATGCTTGTACAAATCCTCAGCAACATTTTCCTCTGCCAACAACCGCCTGTGGGGAGGCTTGTGCTCATGAGGTGGCTCCTCTCCCTTACCTTTAGGCGGCTTGTGTTCTGGGAATGGCTTGTGATCGTCGTTGTCTTGTGGTGTTGGAGGCTTGTGTTTAGGAGGTGGCTTAGGCTTGCCATCCTCCACTGCAGCCAACTTCCTTTCAGCAGAAGGAGGCTTATGAATGGGAGGCTTATGTTCCTTTTTGGGAGGCTCATGGTGATCGGC